ATCTTGGTTGTTATCATGGTAGTTATCATTCATTGCAAATAGGATCCTGCTATTCCAAAAATATATTTAATAGCTAAAAATCCTTCTATTGTATTTTCCTCGTGAATGTCACGTTCTATTGTCCATTCCCGCTTTGGGGAAATCCAGAAATTAATTAAAATTCTCATTTTAAATTGATTGCTATTTATTTATTGGAACCTTGTTATTCTGTTAATAATATGTTTACTTTCAATCACGTCTTTTAATAACATGATTCTTGGAACATAATTTGCCGTCTTGATTAAAACGTACTTGATGCATAGATTCTTGAAGCTATGTGGTTTTAATTATTTTGTTATTCTGCTTGTCCCCCCCACATTTCATTTTTTTATTACAAGTGAATAAAAATTGACCTATTAATGTATCTATAAATTATAATTCTTTAGCCATTTAAAATCAAGTAAGATTTTTTATTTTATTAAATGTCATTTATTATCGATCCTTCTCTGTAAAAATATTTCGTTGTCTTAAAATATCTGTTCAAGTTAAAAAAAAAAAAGTTATCAGAATGACGAATCCTTTTGAAAGTGGAAAGTCTAATAATGAAATTGCAAACAAGGAAAAAACATCAAAGGAAAGTGTGACTTGACGGAAATAAAACGCGGTTGTTTTTTATTTTTGGAACGGTATTGAATTATATTTTTAATTAGTGTTTCCTCTTGTTACAGCTCTTGTTAATTTTTTTTTATGTCATAAAGCTATTCATAAATCCGAGTATTTTAATTGTTTACCTTGATGAAACAAATAATTATAAAAATAAATAAATTTAAATCCTGAATATACACTTCATTTATTTGTCAAATCTTTATTTTTAAATTTACCTAGTAAGTTTGTCTGGTTAAAACTATATTCTATCTTATTGTGACGTGTGGAGAAAGTAACAGCTCTATATTAAAAATATCATAAGACACAAGCTTTTAATACGCTTCACATTATCAGGAATCGATCTGGAACCTATTTTCTTTGAGTATGAATTTCAGAATCGAATGATAGCTATTACACAGGAAATATTAAATAAAACGTGAGTTACCAAGATCATTATGGGAATTTTTTTTGCAATTCATTGAGAAATATTAGAGATTTTCAAATGGATTTTTATCTTATTTGAGTTGGATTTGAGAAGCATTTGAACTTTTAAAATGTTTCATAAAATTAAGTCATATTTTTTAATATTTAAGAAGGGCCACGGTTTAGTAGTCATGGTTCTATCAATTACAGAGGGCAACGAAAAAAATATTAGTAAAATAATTTTAAACTAATTCACCGAAATCTTATTTGTTTTTGTGTTTTGAAACTGTATTTGGTATTAGTTTTCTTTATTTAATTTTTTTTTGGATATCTTTTCTCCGTAATGTTTCTTGTACAGCTTATTATCCGATGCGAAGGATTTCGATGTTCTCTGTAAAGTGAACAACACTAATCATCCATCATATCGATATACCACCGTCCCTGATATCGTTTATTAATCTCTATACCCTCCCCCCTGCTGTTCACTCACATCACCCAAGTTTTTTGAAAATATCTATAAAAATTCGCCTACCTTTCTTCTTGTACTTAATGCCAAATTAATTTATTAGACTGTCAATATCATGACAGTAAACCCAATTCTCTTCCTGCTTGAAAAATTTAACAAACTGTTGATCTTTTTTTCTTAAATGGTAAATTGATGTTCCAGATTTCAGTATATAGAGATTTCAGTATGTAGAGTTTATTGCCGACCTAACATCGTATGAATGATTAAAATTAGTTTTTTCACATTTAATTTGTTTTTCCCAGTCCGCTGGTGTTCCTCAAGGTAGTATCCTAGGCCTATCCTCTATACAGTTTATACAGCTGACATCCCTACCTATCCCAACACTGTCATCACCACATATGCCGATGACACATGTATCCTATCAGTAAATAATGCCCCAGCAATTGCATCCTAAATGCTTCAATCACACATCACATCATATTAATATTCAAGAATGGTGTCAAAACTGGAGAATTAAAATAAACTCCAATAAACCCACCAAATTACCTTTACCCTTCGTCGTAAACCAACGACTTCCTGTCCTACAGTTTCCTTTAACAACACCTCACTCAACAATAGCCCACTTATCCCTGTTGAGCAAATCCGATACCTAGGACTCCACCTGGACAAACGACTAACTTGGAATCCTTATACTAGACTGAAACGACAAGAAACCGCTCGACGTTTCCGATTACTTCAGCACTTACTAGACAAACGCTCTAAACTTCCAATTAATTACAAAAGACTCATATACTTGACTATAATAAGGTCTATTTGGACTTACGGAGTTGAGTTATGGGGCTCCACTAAACCATCGAATTCCTCTCGCATCCTTACAATCCAAAATCCTTCGTAAAATCCTCAATGCTCCTTACTTTGTTACAAATAAAATCATCCATAATGACCTTAATGTTCCTTATGTTTCCGATTTGGCCCAATCCAGATACCTATCCTTCCATAATAAACTTCAGAATCATCCCAACCCTCTCGTTTCTAACATTGCTTCCTCTTCAATTCCTGATAACCCTCCGAGGCGTCTGAAAAGAAGATGGCCCCGTGATCTCCTAATGTAGTCATATCATTAGAGTGCTACCATTGGGTAGTTACTCAGCAAGTGTTTTTCATATCATTATATACATTATGTTCAAATTTACTAGATGTATTTATTTAATACAGTTGTAAATGTCTTCAAGAAATTAAAAAAAAATAAATATTTTTTTTTTAACTTTATGTGAGATATTGGTGTGTGGTAGTATATATACAACTTTCTAATTACCATTTTCGGTATCAGCTCTTAAAATAAGATCCTTTAGTAGAAAGAAAGTACATAGGAACAACGCTCAGTAGAAGTTTATTTGGAAGTTTTTAAAAATAGTCCAGCACTGTCTAATCTAGCTTGTCAGGTGAATGGCACAGGATATGAGCTCTGTACTGAAATTCCCTGTCGCCTAATTATCGAGCCGATCCCTAATTAACCTGATTTTCATTAAACTTACTAGTAAAGTGAACAAAACTTGTAAAAGTTAAGATGAAAAAAATGTATAACTATTTAATTTGTATAAATTAGAGATCTAAATGTTAATAACAGTTCTCTAATTACCTGTGTTAGCAGTAAACATTAAAATATTAACATTTTTTTCTGTACATATTTCGTATTATTTGTGTTGTAAATTATTTTTTTCTCAAGTAAACGTCCATTTATTTGATCATTTTGTTCATTTATTTATAATTTTACAAACGTCGTTAGGGCCTGAACTAGAGCCTATATCAAGCCTTATTTTGTAATCCCCGTATCGATATTTTCTTCATTTGATTTAATGAAAAACAAATACGTCTTTGTAATAATAGAACATTTTCAAGAGAGGAAACCTTACTTTAATATTTGGGCGAATGTACTCTTGTCTGATATTATTGTCTAATACTCTTAAACAAAAATATGTGACAAGTGCCAATTAACCCAAATAATTTTATATTATTTTTATAAAGGATTATTATTTAGATGAGAACCGCTGAGGTTACAGGTTTTTACTTAACACTCAACGTTTCAGCCCTTAGGCTGTTTTCAAAAAAAGAAACCTTACTTTAGTAATTATATAGGTATGTATGTATTCTTTTTTATTTATTTATTTTTGGGCTCTTTTATCCTTATTTATTATTATTGTACATAGAGTGTGAATGTGATATCTGAAAACTATTATAAATGTCCTTTGAGACAGATTGTAATATGTTTCCATAAACAAGCTATAAAATAAAAAATAAAAACTTTGGTAATTGTTTAGATGAGGACCGCACAGATTAAGCATAGTTCACAATCACTTCGGTCACACTTGTTCGTGGCGTACCGAATGCATCCGGGTTTATCGAGAAGACCGTTTTCGGTGTCATGAACAAGTGTGACCGAAGTGATTGTGAACCAGGCTTAAACCGTGCGCTCCTCCTCTAAATAATTACCAAAGTAAGGTTTCTTTTCTTGAAAACAGCCTAAGGGCTGAAACGTTGGGTGTTAAGGTAAAAATAAAATAGATTTGAGGATCTATATATAATATTGTATTTATATATAATATAAATATGTATAAATATATTTATATAAAATATTATATATACTTCTAGTTATTTAAATAAGCCGTAAGTTATAATTTGGGTCTGCCACCGCCATTTTAGTTGTACTCCCACGTAAACCTAAGAAGGCGATGATAAATGATGTACAATAAATAGTAGATAAAATTTATGAATAAAATACAAAATAGTGCTTGATGTCTCTATTTGAGGCCGAAACGTCGTCTTTAAAATTACGATTTAAATATTGAAAGGGATGATCAAATGACCTTACGCTTGAGAACAAAATATCAACATTTTCTTCGGAGCAACGTTACTGTTACTGGTAATATTTCGCTATAAACTCACCTTTAAAATCGTATGAATTCTATGAAATTCTTTAAAATGATAGTATCGCCTAAGATCATCTAGAATAGAAGCAATGAACAAGTTTCTAACCTTTCAGCGCCGAACTCATCGATGGCATCAAAGACGGATCTGATGCAATCAATGAGTTTAGGAACTTGCACCATTGCATTAAAATAGATAAATGAAAGTAACCTGTATTTCTTAACTTTCAAAAATGTGTACTTTCTTAGTTATAATGAGTTCGGGTTTGCTAGTACTCTGTGTAAATTATTTAATAAAATGTTTTGACTTCCATTTTTTTCCTTTCAGGACTGCTAGCTTTTTTTTCATTTTTTAAATGATCTTTAGTAATACAGAAAAACCTTTTACAATTGTCCATTTAAAATTGCTGGATAAATACATAAAAAGTTAAGCACATTTTCCTCGTTTCAGGGCGTGATAACTTATTTCCTATCTACATCTTTTGCATTAATTATTCAAAAATATTAACTATTTGCATATTTTATTAACAGGTTTATATATTTATGTATATTTTTTTTTCCAGATAATCGGCGTAGATCATGTGTACTTCATCCAGAAGAACATTCTCAACTTGCGCACACGGACGTTGGAGATTGAGGCCTACAACGAGAGTTTCCAGTCGCGTGTCATGGTACTCGAGACCTGCAGATACTTCGTAAGTTGTCGCACTATTTCTTAGTCCTTGGGTTCTTGACCTTTTCGTGCCTCCATACCGTTTGCGCACCGAAGACACGGAAGCTTTCATTGCTCTCGGGGTTAATTGGCATTTTGTATTCTGGTTCATCCTAATTAAATCTTTGTAAATACAACTTAAAACAACTGATAATAAAAACCTATTAAAATATAAACGACATATTTAATCCTCATGCGGAAACCCCTTAATTACATATACCAAAATATGTTATGTAATATAATTACTAGTTTTATTTATTTATTGTATTTTGCTTGCAGTACTGTGTTATGCAGTCATGAGTTACATCTCATTACAATAAATAAAGAGTTTGTTTTTGTTCTTTATGGCGATGACGATATGTTTACTGATGTAATCACAGTTAAATGTTTACTGTTATGTAGTTCTTTTGTTTCTGTTTATCTTTCAATCCCTACATGTGTTTTTTGTGCGTATTTAATATATTTTTTTTATCGATTTAGAATTTATTCTCGTTAAATTCTACCATTTATATAATCTAAGCTAAATCCTTGGGAAGAAAAGTTACCCACTTCTTACCCAAAACAAAAAATCTGTGATTTATTTGTAACTGTATCATTTATCGTCGGAGATATCAATAATACCAATATCAGATATGCTAATTATCCATTCTATACTATTAATTCAAATTCAAAGACCTCTATCCACTCCAGTACCACAAGATCTCGTCCTTCTGACTTGTATATCCCTTTTCTCAGATCTCCCTCATTTCAACACTTTTTTATTACGCATTTCACCACTTTTTGTAAACCCATCCCTCTTAAAATCCGCCATACTCCATCCTTGTCCACATTTAAAACTCCCCTGTTCCAATTCCTCTTCATAAATCAATGAGCTGCTTTCTAATTATATATTATTCAACAAGGTTTTATATTTCTTTCTACATCTTTATTTTATTTTATTATTATTTTTCAATGATAAATTAATGGTCTTTTGTAGTGCCTATTATATGTTTCATTCTTACTAATCTTGATTGCACTCCTGATTATTTTCAATCTGCGTGTTTGTATATGGATTAGTTTGCTTTATTTCTAATACGTATTTATTTAAATCTTTTTCAAATAGCATATGTAAATTTAAGCTTTTATTGGGAAGATTTTTCTGTCTTATTTATTTATTAATCTTTTTAAATCCATCCTTGATAAGTATGTACATATTTATAGTATTAATAAATTTCAGTTATTCATATATTGTAATAGGTCTTGTGGTCAGAATAGACTTTGTCTGCACACTATTGTTTGCTAATGTTATTTGTCTAATCTATTGTTTTTGTTTTGTTTTTTAAATTAAAAGTCTTGTTCTTTGATTTTTTTTTTTTAAATTATGCAACACATAACTCCAAGATGTTATGTTACGATGTATTGCAGATAGAGAATTCTAAGCCTGTCCTTGCTTGGGGTCTCAGCTATTGGTGGAGTTGAGATTGCATTGGTTCAATATTCCGAAACTAGATCAGGCATATTAAGTAGAATATCTTGGAAAAGGGAATTGGTTCTGTCTTTACGCTTCTCCTAAACTGAGATCTATGAATATACAATTTTTATTTCAAAATTCCTAAAATTTGATCATTTTTTTTATTCATTGTAGATTTTTGCAAATGTAGAATAATCCTTCGTTATGATGAACTCGGTTAACGGGATACGTCGGATAACTGAAACAGATAACTTGATCCCGCTAAAAAATGTCTTTTCTGATATATTTTTGAAGAAATCCCCGGCTGGCACAAATTTAAACGGATTTAGGCAATGGTAGAGTAATATTTTCGGTTGAAGCGATATTATTGTATTTACGAATATTCAGTAAAAAATTTTAGCAAGTCCTTACTTCCGACATAAAAGGCTCTGACTACTTCTGCTTCCTCTAAATTTCTGCACATGAATCATTTCTAAGAGTTCATAAAAAAATTAAATATTTCTACTAAAACATTGTAATTATTATTACAAATACACATTAGCGCTTGACGAGCTGTTTCTAAACAAAACACAGCACATAATTTTTTTTTTTTTTTTTTGTAGCAATGAACAAGGTCTAAAATATGGGTGAGCCCATTTATGGATATCAGCTCTGTACTGAAATTCCCTAACACCTAATAATCAGGCTTATCTCTAATTAACCTAATTTTCATTAAACTAACTAGTAAAGTGAGAACAACGTGTATTAAATAAAAGGAAAAGCTTAGTTGAAAAAAGTTTATAACTATTGAATTTGTATTAAGTAGAGATCGAAATGTTAATAGCAGTTGTAATGACTGGTATTAGCAGTAAACATTAAAATATTAAAAACATTTCTGTACATATTTCGCATTCTTTGTGTTATAAATTATTTTTTTATCAAGTAAACGATTATTTGCTGCGTGGACTCATTTCCGAAAGTAGACAGATTCAAATACCTCGGCTCCACAATAACCTCAATAAATGATCAACTAACAGAGATGAGGAGGAGTTTGTGACCAGCGAATAACAAGTGCGAACAGATCTTTCTTCTCGCTTTCAAGACTACTGAAATCCAGAAATCTAAAAATAAGGATGTACAACGCCGTGATCAAGCCAGTTCTGCTGTACGGTTGTAAAACCTGGACTCCAACCGGCACACTGGAAGCCAGAATTGAGAGATCCGAAAGAAAAGTTCTCCGTAAGATAACAGGGCCTATATGGGACCAGCATCTTGACTCATGGAGGCGAAAGAATAATAAAGAACTGCCGAAAGAAACCTGTCAGTAAGTATCTCATGACATAAAGGCAAGGAGGTTAAGATGGGCGGGGCATATAGCTTGTAGCAATCCATGAGGACCTCTTTACACAACAATGAATGTCTGAGTTGAAGGCATGAGACCACATGGGAGGCTAAAAACCAGATAGATAGATAGGATAAACAAAGGTATGGCTGTGCTTCATGCCGCAAACTGGAGAGCAGTAGCCCAAGATAGGCAGAGGTGGAGAAGGCTGATTGAGGCGACCAAAGATTTACAGTCTTTAGAGCCAACAGAAAAAACATATATATATATATATATATATATATATATATATATATATATATATACATATATATACATACATACACACATATATATATTAGTTAGTTATATACTCGTATATCTACATCTTCCAAGAGATATAATTATATATATAGTGTGAATATTCTTATTGCTTTTAAACTCTGTGTAAGTGTTAATTTTTTCAAACGAGAAATATCCCTCAGAAAGATTTTAAAAAATTATCTAACGATTAAGGAAAAATGAATGAATATAACAAGTTTTAAACTGGTAAATATGTTATGAGTTGAGCTGAATCCATATGTTTTGTATGATTTATAGGTATGCTATTATTTAATATTTACTGACGACAAGTGAAACTATCGAACGCAATAACCTTGGTAATGTTTGTTTGGCAGTTCATTCTGTACAAACATATAACATTTGAATATGTTGAACTCATGTTTGTCGACTGTTTATATGAACTTTTATTCCATAAAAATAATTGAAATATTATCATTGTGGTGATATGTAATGTTACTAATGTACGATCCTTAAAAATTTGAATAGTAATTTGATTTTTATGGTTTCGATTCCGTAGCTCAGGATCAGGGTTTTTCTCGGGCAAGGGGAGAGGGCGTGGGATTAATGCCAGAGTTATAAGTCCCCTTCCTCACTTGCACGCAGACTCGTAATTATTTTATTATCTAAACTTCGGTTTATCATGTTGCCTGACATCGCGTTTTTTTCTTTTGCACACGCGTTAGTCTACTCGACCACACTGCCCCGTATTTTAATGACAACTAGAGATGCTAAGGAAAAAAAAGATTTTATATATAAATATATATATATTTATGTATGTATATTGGGATTTCTTGGAATCCTGCTTTTTCCTCCACAATGGGAGCTTGGTTCGAACTTCAACTGAAGGATTGTAAGTCTAAAAATGCATCCGGGCAATATGATTTCCTAGTTGTCGTTTTTAAGGTATTTTTAATTTTAAATGTTAATATCACTGTAGGTTTATAGTAATTCATTGACTTTATGCGACCATTTTTTTTCTTTTTTTTTTTTTTTTTGCTGTATGTTTAAGCAATTTAATGAACTTTGTCTACTGATTCATAAGTTTTCTTTTAGAATAATTGTCAAAAGAATATCGATTTGTATAGTAAATTAATATTTTTTTCATTATATGCAAAATATAAATATTTAATTGTTACTATTAAAAATATAAGACCAATTGTTTTTTTCCTCACATTTCAAAGTTTAAAAACATAGACAGAGAAATTTACCTTTTCGACAGTCTCATGTTTGTTTTATGACTTCTAGAAGCTTTCGTTGCTTTCCACCATATTCATCTAAAAACATTTATATGTAAATAAAACATCGACATACATATACATACACATAGGCGCAGGCTTCGGAGCAGGGGAGGGGGGAGGGCGGAATATTATTCCAATAATTTCAAAAAAAAAAATTTTAACAAATAAGCTACATGAATGATAAAATATGTAAACTAAAATCGATTAAGAAAGTCGACTAGCTGGCTAAGCGAACGTCTATAAGTAACTATTTTATCACGACCTAAATATTCCTATTGTTTAAATTTTCATTCATTCTTGGACAAATGAAAATTGAAAACATTTCCTTGGATTTTATGATTCATTCATCTTTCGTGTGGACACCTCTATTTTCACGTTATATTCTCATAAATTTTCTGCGATAAAATTAGAAAAAATATATTTAGTTAGTACAAGTATAAATATGTTTTTATAAACATTATAATAACTAGTCAAACTGTGAAAACATTTTATTTTTATTTGGTGTTTGTACAAACTAAGAAACTAAAGTACTTTTCAGTTTTTATTATTCATTTTTAGCTGATAAAGTTCTAGAAATTTACTTATTGGTGGCATTTGCCAAAATTCAAGAAGATTTAGATCGAATTAGTGCCTGGGCCAACTTAAATGGATTA